GAAAACAGACTCTTTTCAGAATGGCAACTTGGCCGTTCTTTTTGTGAAGGGTACGACTGTCTTCAGGACATGATGCAAAGATATGAAGCGGGAAGACAGAAGGCGACCCATGTCAAATTATTTAATGCTTTCCTACGGCAAAAGATTCAAGGAACTATCTTAGCTGTATGATGTTTTTATACAGTTAAATAACAGCTACGTGCATAACACAATGCAATTGGAATAGACTAAGAAATGCAGCTAAAAAAAGAGCTCTTTTTTTTTTTTTTGCATTTTCTTTGGATTTGCAAGATAAAAGACCATATAAGAATGATAAAAGAAGAACCAGGGGGGGGGGGCTTTTTAGGGACAGCAAAAAAAAGGTACGAGCCAAATGAATGAAATAATTCACAACTGAGTACAGTAATGAAGCATAGAAAAGAAATCAAAGATTGCAATAACGAAATTGTAAAGATGAACAAATCCGCTGATAAAACTAATCATTTTCAATGTGTGTGTGTGATTAAAAATTTTGTTTCTTTGATAGGTTATTTGTTTGAATATGTTTTAGATTTGTATTTTGTGTGTGTCAGAAAGATGTAAATTTGTAATTCTTGATGTCACTGCAAATCTCTATTTACATCCCTATTCTACCATTGTGATCACTCAAAGCGCCACCAAAAGTCTTGTGGCTCTCCCAGAAGTCTTTAAGAAAAGAAAGCCCCTGGAACATGAACAGCCAAACTGGCGCTGTAACCCCAGTCTCCAGAGGGTATGGCAGGCCTTTGTGATCAAGACAACAGCCCAAATTCTCAAACACAATAAAAAAGGGGGAGAACAGAGCTTAAGCGACGAAATATGATCGTCATTGCTTGGGAATAGCTCTCAGAACGCCCAGGCAAGCAAACAGTCTGCTTCAATATTGTTGGTGTCAGGGTAATTTGGGAGGGAAAACACAACAGGCGACGGTTGATGACTGCGCTGAGTTGTTTGGGATGAGGGAGAATGGAAAAGATTACTGAGAAATCCAAGCAAAACAAAACATTGCCTGGAATCAAATATCAATTTCAAGTTCCAATTACTGGGAGTACATTTTCCATTGTTGCATATTAAATAGATAAAAAGTATTGGGGGTAGTACACTCATTCTTTAAGAAGCATTGTGCAAATACTTAAGATATCTTTTGGAAACAAATTGCAGAGAATTTAGACAACTTTAGACTTTAAGAACATTCATTATAGCAGTAGATTGCCTGCCTTCACCCAAGCACTTTTCATTTTTTGCACGATACATTATTATGTAGAACAAAACTTCCACAAAGACTAACAATGCCTTTTTAGGAAGTAACCTTTCCCGTTATGGTTCAAATCTCGCACCTGGATTTTTACTTTGTGACTAAAACACAACTAAATGAACATACCAGACAGTGCAATAAGCTACCAAGAAAAAAAAAAAAAATCCGTCATCAAATATTTTGTCGCCCGCCAACAACTGAGTGTTAATATCCTGTTGTGGGGCTTTTTAAAATCAATAAAGTGCTTGGCAGCACTCGGAAGGGGACTGACAAGAACGAAACAGCGGTGTACAACAATGCCTTCGTAAATCAATAGAATGCAAGAACGCTGATGATTTTGGACACACAAGGGGCCAGTGACTCATGATGTACTGCGGACAATGATTGCCCGTGTAATGAATGAAATAATAAACACAGGAATGAAAGTACAGCGTCTTGCTATTTTTACTTTGATTTATCGTAGGATTTTGGTGAATTGGGAATCCCGAGAAATTTTATGAATCAACGCCTTTTGGTACGTGTTCAGTGAACCGAACATGCACTAAGTGTGAAGTGGCGTGCAATGGTATTAGGTGGTGTTACTGTCGACTGGATGTGGGGACAAAGGAGACGAGAGGAAAATTGCGATAGTATTGTTATTTCGGGTCTCCCGCATGGCACATTTTTCGCAAGAGTACATAGAATGTGGATATAAAGATGACGGAATTGAATTACGGAATGGAGCTGAGGGTTTGTGGCAATTTCTTTGTCATGATTGGTAACAGGAATATGTTAGTGATATAAAAATCAATGGTTTCAGTTTGCACATTGCCTTGGTTACAAATCAATAAAATTCCACACTATCGTTTTGGGGAAAAAAACACCAATGTTTCTTTTTTTCCACCTTAGGTTGCTGTTAAAAACTCCTATTTTTACTCTTTTCACAACTGCTACGATGCTAATTCATGCTCATATTAAAGTCAAGTTATAATATTGTAATGTATAAGCATAAAAAAAATTCAATTCAAAACTTGCTTGAAAACATAGCAATGATGAAAAACAAACTGCGCATGAGAAAGCCAAACTCAATTTACTGACACCAACAATAAGACGTGGTAAATAGAACATTGCTGAAATGGCATTCATGGAATTGTCTTGCGGCAATATGTGGACACAAACAGAATGCTTGAGTTACATGAATGTCTCTTGACTTACAGAAGCAGCGTCTGCTCGATACAATGGTTCTTTTATTTTGTTTCAATGGACTCCAGTCTGCAAGCACGTCATAACAATGATTTGCCCGGAGGATCACAGATATCATTCAAGGATTGTTCTTGGCAACATGAACTCATGTGAACCGGTCGATATGTCTGGTTTTTAAAACGTCGGTTTTTATAACCAGCTTTGACTCCAGGAGAATTTAATTTGGATCCATCAATGATCATATTCTGCTTCAGGAACTTTAAAATCCTGAAGGCAGGGACGTAGCCAAAGCTGGAGGCACAGCCGAAATTTGAAAAATAATCTTATGACGTGCTTGTTTTCAAGAATCCGGTTAGAAAAGCAAACAGCAAAACAATCAGACAAAAGTGTATACGAAAAACGGACAAATATTTACCACTACGTTACCAGAGTTTGTTCGGCCTTGGTTTTGCATGCGTGTGCTTTGAAGTTCAACAACCCATTGTCCTAGCCCTTTTAGCATTGATTTTTCTAACGTAATAACGTTCCAGCACACCTGTTTTGCCAGAACTTGAGAGGCCTCAACTTGAATTTTCCCAGAATGTGTAAACAGCATTACCAAGCAAACAGCGCCCTGGTCTTTTTTTTTTATTCTAGGCTTACCTCTAAGCTTGTTGTCTGTGTTTGTTCATGTCAGTAATATCAAACCCAAATATTTGAGGATTTGCCATCTTGTGGTAATTCCTGTTGGTTGAAAGTATTTTTAGTCCATGCTTCATGTTTTGACTAACAAAAATTTAACCATTTGATTATGTTAGCCATTGCTTTTTTTTGCCAGAAAAGAGCATTATTTTGGGGGTTTCTTGATGTAAAGAATTCACAAGGGTTCTTAGACTCTCTCTCTTTATTTGGATTTAAACCATCTCAAAGTCCAAACATTAGTTACACTTTAAGTCTTCATTTGAGCTACTTTTAGATTTAAGACAAAGTGTTCATTGAAGGGAACCGCAAGGCTCTGTGGGGAGTACAATAGTAATGCTTGGAGGTTGCGGCACTCTGTGGTGCAGCAGGGAGGCAGGAATCAGTTAAGGTTAGAAAAATATCACACGGCTCTTTCTCAGTGGGGCAATTTTTGTGATTATAAGTACGGAGAAAACTCATTTCTCATTTCTGAGAAGAAAGTCCATGCAGTTTCAAATGATGTTTGATACAACATAAGAGCAAAAACGGTAGTGATAAATAAGTTGTTAAAAGTTCATTTATGGAATAAAAATGTTTGACAAGAAAATGGTTGTAACAGAGAATGGAAGCAAAATCAATTTGCTTGTCTGAAAATAGTAAAACATGATCTAATGCCATACGAGTTGTCTGACTCTTTAGAAAACGTGCTGTAGTTGGGATACAAACAAGTGGACGAAATCAAACATTGACAGGTACATTATGACCGCGATAACTTTAGGAGGAAAAGGATGACACACAAGAGGAATTTTGTTGACTGACAGATAAGAATGTTAAACCGAGAATATATTGAGAGGACTACACTCCAAGGAACGTAAGATAAACTCATCTTATTGGTTGTCTGACTAATAAGAGCTAACAATGGGCGACTGCGGACAGTTATCACAACTTATGCGCAAATAATAAGTCAGGATCTGAACAAGATAAAAATCAAAGAGGCAGATGTAAACACGCACTGGTATCAATTACAAACATCACTCAAAACTTGTTGGTTTGGAAAATTATTAATGAAATCTTGCCAACAAAATACAAGAGGAATACAATTTCTGTTATCCTCTACTTTTCCAATCAATCGCTACCCAGTTCATCGTCTAAATGATCTTACAAACAACCCTTCTCAAGACATCCATGGGAGAATTGGTGCTCATGGCCACGCGGCATGGTTGCCTGACCTTGGGTTTAATTACAGTGTTGATTATTGACTGAAATCATTGAACAGCGTACCAACAAAAACCGTGTGTAGTAACACCTTGCCTCTGCAGGAATGTAGTCTACTGACCATACAAATGACCCCGATTGTCACAACATGTGTGTTGTGAAAACCTCTCTCTTGTCACAGGTGGTTGTTATTTTTAGAGAAGTGTTTTCTTTTGGGGGATGGAGGGGGGGGGGTTGGTGGGAGGTGAGGGGGTAAGGAAAGGGCTAGGGGACTAAAACTGTTGGTAGTTGGGAGGGGGTGGGGGAATAAAAATTGATATTATGCTTGCTGCAGTTGACAAATCAAGGATTTAACCAACCAAAAAAAACAAGGGGTTTTTTTTCTTCAGAAGTTCAACTTTGTCCTATTAATGTTCTACTTCCCGTTGATCTTCCTTCTAATAAGAATATGTAAGGAAGGACTGCCAATAACATGAATAAAGAAACTAAAACAATCTAAGAAATCTAATTAAGAGTTTCTTACATTTTTATTTTACTGAATTAATATAACAATGATTTCAGAAGTACCCTGCTAACACATGCACAAAACCTGACAACAACCGTGCCTACATGAATAATTGACGTTCTTGACAACGAAGATAACCAAATTTCCAACAAATTCTTGTCTTACCATGGTCCCATCATCCAGATTCAAGTCGTTAAAATCCAAATCCATGTCTCCTGATGAAGCAGGCATTTGTGTAGAATTATCAGTCCTCCAAACTCCAAACAATCGGAAGAAAAGTGAAAATAACAACGGAACTCATCCACGACCACTGGTGCCAAAGTTTAGACAAATCAGCCGATTTGCAGAACTAAGGACTTCAATTCTCCATTAAACCATAGTCCTTAAAACTTGAGCCAGGTTGGAGATATTAAGACGGTTATTTTTTACATTTAAAAGCCCCAAAGCGAAGGCTTAGGAACTGAGTTTTGTTTTCTTACACACGGAGACCCATGGCACAGTTCTCGCAGACTGTTATCCAACTGTCAACGCACCAGCCGGTGTCGGTGAATGACGTTCCCACACATAGCCAATAGGATCAAAGGCAATGAACGATGAATGGATATAATAGCACGTGTAATAATGGACCCAGTCAATGAACAGGCCAACTAAACTTGTGTATGTACACACAATCACGCACACACCTGATTGGGCTTTATTCACCGGGCTGAGGGGTGCTGTTTGGGTTGACCCTTTAGGCTGGTGGCGGTTTAGGCAGGTGCTCAGAGGGGGGCGTCAAGGATTAAATTAGGCTTTAATCCATATGACGGGGTCATATGGCCGAGAAGTATTGATGTGTTAATTTGAATTTTAAAAAGAATGAATTCACCCCAAAATTATTATTATTGTTTTAATTACTCGTTTCATCTTTAATGTAGAATTTGTAGTGCATATATTCCTTGAATAAGAAATTACACTACGCCATTATGTCACTGTAACAGAGTTCCCTAGCCGACTGATTTCCGTTCCGCCAGGCATGTTGGTAATGTATCATCAGTTGAAATCTTGTAAATGTGATTTGTTACAATTTCAAGACAACTGGAAAGGAACAATCTTGAGGCTAATTCACAGCGCATTCCTCATTTTTTTGTCAAAATTTAAATCTGAAAGATCTCTGGGAGTTTCACAAGTGAGCAGTGTTGTCCTTACCCAGACTATTTTAAGGACACCGCTGACAAAACATGTTTTGGACTAAGGTTGTGACATGATTGACAGTTCGTTCTAAGGGAACATTCTAGCACACAAGGTCGACCTAACATCCTGCTGAATATTATTGTCATATCTCTGCTGGCAAATTTGTTGTTCGTTCACACATACAACAATGTAACAGTGGGAACAGGCATTCCAACATTCTTGCAATTGTGAGAGCTGTTTCCAAAAATACCAGGAAAGGTGTACCGTTCACTGGGAGTGTCCAGCTCAACTCCCAAACATATAATCCCATGCCCAATTGAGTGCCAAAACGTCAATCCTACAAAAACAAAATAAGACCCTAGAGTAAGTCTGTCAAGTGAATTTTGCTGAGGGTCTGCTCGGAGGGGGAAAGCAAACAAAAAGTGAAACTCAAATATGTTGCACCAGGTTCCTCCACTGCCAATCATCGTGTTGGGGCCAGCAGGACAATCCAATTGGTACAGCGATATGTGGACTTAGCTTAGGCCTCAAATTCCCTGGCGAAATTTTGGAATAATACCATTAGTTTTCTCCAGTGTCATTATGTCAAAGAACTTTTTGGCAATAGGGAGGGAGAATGAAGGGGATGTTGATTTAGGTGGTCTGTAGTCATTGCTTTGTGGTGGCCATTTTTTGATTGACTGCCCTTTTATTTTTCGCTTATAATATATGTTTTTTTTTAAGCCTTTGGTAAAAAGTTTGTTGTATTGACAGATGACCATTCAGTCTGACCATGGACCTAGCTTAAAGCCATAAGCTAATACTTTTCAATGGTAAGTCAATCTGATTTGCTCCTTTTAAATAACGTCATTCTAGAAACATTAGGTATAGGCCTATGAGTCAAAAATCTCACTGAGAATACACTCAAGTTTTAATTTTATAACATATAAATGACTAATATAGCATTTAATATAACTGGACAGACAACTCCAAAAACCCAGAGCCAAAACAAGACAAAACAATATTTTTTTTAATTTAAATTCTAAATTCTAATGAATGTGTTTCATTCTAATGAATGAAACACATCAAATCAAAACTTTTCGAAAAACAATTTTCAATTTAGTGTGTACTCTCGAGCAATCTTGCTCACAAAAGAAAAACATGAGAATGAAAACCAACACTATCAAGAGCCGACTAAAAAAATGCAGAAGAGCTGGTTTAATCACAAATGAGACAATCTTCTTTGAGGCTTGAAATGAAGATGATACAAGACCCAAAGATGATATGAAGCCTTTGTGGTGCTCTGGCGAGATTTGTCCTCGGGCTACTCTTAATCTCAATCACACAGTCACGTTTGGAAAACTCAAAAACACTTGAGATCCCACGAGGCCTTAAAACAACACTGTTTAATTCCGCATCCTGGCAAAAATAACGTCCAATTTTTTGCAAATCAGGCTCCTGGATGCCTGCTAACAAGCTGGTGTGTGCTTGACTTATAGGCAAGTAAGACTCTTGTCTCGTAAGCCCTCAAGTCCTGTCAGGTTCAATTTGAAGGCAATTTTTCCTTTGCTTGGAGGCGACACGTGGGAGGACACATTTGGGACTCAGATAGTGACACAGTGAGACAAGGCGAGATGGACAGAGTGACAGAGGTGGTGAGAAAGACTGAGGCATACACAGTGACAAATAGGGTGATAGAGAGGATGAGGTAGACCCAAACACACACAGTGATAAACTAAGTCAGGAATGACAGAAGGGTGATGCCATTGACCCAGACAGACAGAGAGGCAACTGTAGATACAGACCAGAACTCATTTGCTGTTTGCACATTCTAACTTGCTAAAGCTTCTCATTCCAATGAGCATATGGCTGATGAGACAACAAATAGCCAAACTCTTCAGTTTAACTAAACTCGGTTCACAAATTAAAACAAATTGTAAAAAATCATCTTCATTTCCTTGAAAAGAGAAAACTTTAAGACAACATAATTTTCATCAAACAAAAAGCACTAAAAAGTATGTATCATTTGAGTTATCAAATGACTACACATTTATCAAGAGCATCAACTACAACCGATCGATAACGTTTCCTTCATCAATTGTAACAAGAGTTAGCAGCGGCATAATGGATCTTTTCACAGACGTGGGGGTTATTAGAGGTAAGGTGTCATGTAATGGACCAGGAATGAAGCAACTATCGATCCAGTATTAAGCTTCTTAGGCTTAATATCTCCGGGATTAGAAAAAAAAGCTTAGTAAGGCAAAATCAATGCTTGCAAGCAATTGATGGTTGATGCACGGCTTGGCATGTGCTGCAACTGTCAACATTCAAGACAGAAATATAACATTGATGCCAGTTTGTACAAAATTATATTAAAGAACATGACAAATGTGACCACACCGAACAAAATTATTAAGAAATCATCAGTGCTACTTTTGAGATGAAGGCTCTTGAACAAATCCTGCACTATGAAAATCAATAAGGAATTGTCAACATCTTCAAATTAATGTTTTCATTTGTTCTGCAATCCGAGTGTTGTATCAAAATGGAGAACTTAGTATGGATTTTATAACAAATACACAAGTGAATATTGTTCAATGTACTCTTTTCATAGACTTAAGTCACACATTTTTTCCTGTTAAAATTGTGATGACTGCATCAGTTCTAAGTACATAATGCCCCTTTCTTAAAACTTCCTTTACTTAAAAGTTCCTCATGAGCTCCTCTGTCCTTTCAAAAAATAAACATGATCAGAGTGTCGAAACTGCACAGAATTTCCATGAAGAAAAACACGATAGAATAAACCACATTAAAAAAACCAACCCACACATAAACTTGAACTCTTGCCATTAATTATCCATGATTGATCAATTTAGTAGGAATGAACAACAGTGCCCGATAATCACGAAATGTTGAGTAATTTATGACGTTCCCTCCAAGCAAGACAGTTTTCAACAGATGCTTGTTTATACAGGGGATGTGGTTTTGGTGGTTATGAACAAACAAAGTTTAGGAAAAAGCTTTTTGATTAACAACCTTCATTTCCACAAGGGGGGACAGGGAAAAAAAGGGAAGAAAAAGCAGTGTTGATATGTGTGACTGATCATATTTCAAACCAGTCTTTTAGAAAATACCACAAAATCGCCAGACAAGGTTTTCAAATCTTCACAGAAACTAGCAGCTTTCTGTATTTATATATCACCTTCAGAATGTCCAATTTGCAGAGAGATGATGGAAGTATTAACTCATCAGACACAAACAACATTTCATGTCTGTAATGGACCAAACCCCCTTTTGTTAACTCAAAATCTGACCCCAAGGTCAATCTGTTTGTTGTACCTGGAATCTTTTGTTTACTCTTCGGACTGCAATTCACCTTTTTTCGACCTCGAGACCGGTGAGAAATTTCCCCATGCCGTGCATATTTTCACAAGATAAGGAGACAATATTTTGGAATTGTTTTGTGTGAATGCACACCTGTTTGTTTGATTTTTAAAACCATAGATGGACATCGGACTTGCGAAAACAAACTGTTTTTATACAATCATCTTTTTTTTTGGAATAAACTTGTTGTTGATGACAATAAAAAACAAATTTGTATCTACATATCAGTGTCAAAAACCAATTTTTTTTAAAAATTTTTTGGACTAGAACCACGTTTACACATTCAAAGAATTCAGTTTTAAAAGAACAAATGTACACTGTCAAGCAATATGACCAAAAAATGCCAACTTGACATCAATTGTCACAAGAGGGCAGCAAACATTATAACCCGCTGGAATTTTCTGCCAATTGTGTTACTGATTTGCTCTTACCCCCTCTAGTGGCCAATTTCTTCAATTTTTTCCACAGAGCAAAATGGTTACCTCGTAACAATCAGCCGGCTCAGAAAGAAAAAGGAAGCATTTTACAAAAACTTATATATATATTTATGGTTATTTTGTGTTATTAGTCAAATTTGATTAAACAATTTGCTCTCATTTATTTCAAAATAAATATGTCAAAGCATCGCTAATGTATTAATTTCCTCCCCTGTTTTAATTTTAAACAACTCTTCAGCAAATTTGAGATGATTAAATTTAAGACAGGTGAAAAATAAACAAATAAATTCCTTGTCGGCCAATAAATAACTCGTTCCCAAAATCCAAAAGAGCTGAGCGGCCAACAGAGAATAACCGGAAAGCGATGACGGATTTAGCGTTCGACCGGTAACCGACTCCCCGAGTGATACAATTTGATAAGGAATGCTCAGCGCGGCATACCGGGGGGCCCTGTCTAAATCTCATCAAGGCTAATACGCGTTCTGGGATCTGCCGGTTTGGCGAGGTGGCGCCGAACGCGAGAAGGGGAGAATGCGGGGCTGGCATGTCGTTAGTCATGACACGCAGCGGTGGGCTTTGGTCT